ATTCAGGAAAAACAGTTTAGGAGCCTACCTCCAGTTGAAATCAGTCAGAATTAGGAGCCTAATTTTTCTGAAAACTTCACAAGCCACCTTTCTGCATCTTCAAGCATCTGAAAGAGTCTATTTTGGGCCCAATTCTTGCCTCTGTTTTTATCATTAATTTGGAGGGTGGAATAGAGAGTGAAAGAATCAAACATACAGTGAACTGATGTTGGAAAAAATATTGGAATAATAATAGAAATATATCATATGAGCTTCATTAATCGAATTCCTTCAAACAGTAACGTAATTAGTAAATACTAATATGACATCTAGTATAGATAAATAAAACACAGTATAAACAGGACAAAGAAGTATAATGAGGAAATTAAAGATGATAGATAATCTGCCTGAGTAGAAACACGTTGAACAGGGAAGGAACAAGCAGCCATAGCAAATGATATATTAAATATGAACTCACACGATGGACAAGGATGGAAATACCTTTGCCACTGAAACATGACACAGCACTGGAGAGGAGCATCTTGCATTGAAAAAGGGTTTACTAAGCAACCTATTAGGTCAGCCATCTCTGTACCTCTCATAGATACATAACAGAGCAAGTTGCATAAATCCAAGTTCTATAAGCAAATATAAGTTACATGTAAATGTGTCAACCACTCGTCTTCTGAATTCCTTCTATCCTCAGAACAGCACATTCTACTTAGTTTTGGCCACCACTAGTTAAATAAGACCCCTTGGAGATTTTTCAGAGAAAAGAAACAAGCTTAGTAAAAGAGCTGAAGAAAACACAGCTGAAAGAAGCCCCAGTAGCTGTTTACAGACATAGAAAGAAGACATCATTATCCACTAAGAACAGAACAAGAACTGCTGGTCTTAGACTGCAGCAGAGAAAAGTCAGGTTCAATAACTAGAGAAACGTGAAAATGAAGATTTTGACAAAAGAATCAGCTTCTGCAAAACACTATAGGATCAGTATCTCTGGGTACATGCAAGGTTGCATTAGTCACTGATCCAGCAGAGATCATAGGAAGGTTTCAGTCAATTCTTGTTTTGCACAAGGAATGGATCTGAATGCATATCGCAGCCTCAGAGGGACTGTGAATAAAGGATACGATACAAACATAAGTTGTTATGCTAAAATAGCAGTTTATACAGGAATAAAACTAAAAGGAGACAAGGACATATTGGTAAAAGGAAAAGAAAGAAACAACTTCTTTTAGAGATGGGCAAGGGAAATCTTCCCTAGATAGAGGGACAGAATACAAAGTTGGAAGTACGTATGTAGGTAAGTCTCTGTGAGAACATGAGAAGAATGAAAGCAGACAAATGAGGATGGACAGCAGGAAAGTTAATAACTTGTAGAGATTCAGCACAAACTAACCACTTTGGCTAAAGGAAGTAGACATCTGGAGTCATGAAGCTCAGGTGCTACAACTGATTGCAACTTTTAAACCAGTATACAAGTTTCCAGACAAAACTTCAGAGAAGCTTTTTTTTAAAAAAAAGTAGCAAATAATATATGAAAACCAATATGAAAATAGTAGAATGATTTTTAAGATGACTGCTGTGGTAGAACTGGTGGTTCCCCAGCTGATCATTTGACAACAACATGACATCAATTCTTATTACATACGTAGGTATTCATACATTTGTTCACTCTGTCCCTCCTTTAAAAATCACATGTCCAGTTTATTGTGGACAGCTGTGGTGGTATATTTTCCACTTCTCTTGCTTGACATCAGAGGCTTTGCTTTGCTCCTCAAGCCCTACTTTTTGCCATCCTTTGAGGCACCTGCTCTATCTCCTAGCCAGTTATTCAAGCTATGTTTGGGTCTGGTCTCATACAGCAGCTGACCCATTTGGCTATGTTACTATTTCCAGCCTATACCCATCTCACACCAGGCTGTCCTGCCACTTTCATTATCCAAGCATTTATCCCAAGGGAGCTTAAGGTACAACACTACCCAATGCAACTGGTTGAAAATCTGACCAACTAGTTTTCCACTTGCTGATTGGATGAAACAAGGCATTTCATGATTATGTGAGCAATTTTATTGATGCTTTGAATGGTCAAACATTGTATTCTGAAATTCTGTAGTAGATGCTCAATAAAATCAACTGAAGTATTTCAGAATATTTCATTCCACAAAACAAGCAACCAACCACCTTTTCTTAAAAACACAGGATGACAAGACATTTTAAGCTTTGAAAATCTTCCTTCATATAGAAATTCCATATTTCCAGTCAGTTTTAATATTGGGACCAGGTTTAATATTGGTGTATAGCTGAATGCCTCTTCCAAAAAAGGCAGGCCTTTTCAAAAATAACATTGCTATCTTCCAACACAAGGGACAGTGTCAGCTGGGTACCACTCTTGGATCATCTTACTGACACACAGACTAGTTTTTTCCCAGAACCTTTTTATTACTGATGAAACCTGGTGATATATTCTTGTTTCCCATAAATATGACTGTGTAACTATGAAAAAAGAGCAGAGTAGTTCTTCACCGCAAATCATTTTTTGTGCCCGTGCAGTTAAATAAGAAAATTAATTTGGTTTAGATAATGCTTATGCTTTCTTCTTTGTGGTCACTTTCCAAACTCAAATATCAGAACACTTGCAGAAAAAGCAACCTGGAGGTAAATTAAATAATATACAGAAAAAATAAAGTGTCAACCCATTAAGGTAATTATTTATACCAACAATGTGATTGTGGGAATCATGTTTTCCCAAACAGGAAACAGATTCACTATTTTTGACCTGCATGTTTCCATGTAAAACAAAACTATCTGCCAAAAATGTCTGCACATGGAGTACTGCAAACCAATTTCTAACCTACTACGACCAGATTGAGATTTATCTATAAGAATAGATAATTTCAAAGAAAAAATTGATTCAAGAAATCCACCCAAGCAGGAAGAGGCCTCAACTTAAGCCCATTATTCACAATGAATTGTATGTAATATTTCTACAGAAAGTTAACAAGGGCAGGATATTACTTCAGGATGATGGCATTGCAATTGGGACAGTGCTTTCCTTCTGCTCCATAGTCAGGTAAAAGAATTCTGCTACCACATAACCCTTTTCTCAGCTTTCTACAATGGAAAAGCAGTCGTCACTGTGTAAAGTCTAGATTCCAAAACTCCTTATGACTCACCTCTAACTGTAAGTTTCCTGAAAATGAAAGATATCAGCCAAATGAAATAGGAAAGTTTGTGTTTCCAAAACCAAAGAGGAAATTTATGCTCCAAAATGTAAGCCAAGGCAAAATTCCATCAGTAGAACAATGTACCAGAGCCTTGATTTCAGCCCAGATTTCTGCTGTCTGCTTTGATATCTTAGATGTATTATCTACCCTGTACAAATCACTACTATGCATGTTGTGAGTTCTCTGTAAGATCCAAAAGCAAAGCAAGATCAGACAATAGTCATTATGTTCAAAATGACTACCACTGACAAGTGTCCTGGATTTAGAAGGATGTTCCAGAAAAGAGATAAAGACAGTTATGCATATAACAGCAGAGAAAAGCTGTGGATTTCAGCAAGAGACATACTGGGCTCCCAGGGAAGTCTTAGAAGACACATTTTAGTTCTTCCAACACACAAGAACAGTTATTTAACCACAGAGAAATCTCCTGACTCTTCATATCCTAAAGAGCTCTTCCTCCATGATCATGTGTACAGATACTCCCTTTTATGTGCAAGTCTTTCCATTTCTACTCATTGCCTTTAGAATATCCACCTTGCTGAAGCAAAATACCCAACATGTCCATCACTGTACTGTGCAGGGTCACATGGTGTCACCATAAAAGAATATGATTTGATCACATGGAATATAGTTCTTATTGCATGCTCCTTATTTCTTCATGTTTTTAAAAATAAGCAGGAAATACCCCCATAGATTGACATAGTAATGGTTGGTTTTTTGAGGTCAGTAATGTTGCAAGATAGGTAAATAGTGGAGAAAGGAGGATTCTAATTGTCCTCAAAACCACCAAACATTTTTGGATCGCAGAAGTGAAGACCTCCTGCTACTCTCCTATTAACTTTTGTTAGGTTATTGTCTTATAGGCTAGAAGGCACCCAGTAGCACAAATTATTATTGCATGTACACTCTACAGTAAGCCTTAAGATGGGAGACCTCAAAAACATGTGGGTAAGATAAGTGCTCTTCACAGAAAAGGCACAGTGAAGCAAAAAGAATATCACAAGAAGAAGGAAAGCACCAAGGACTAGACTGTAAAAAACCCCACACTGTGTATCAAATATTAGACTCCTTCCTCATACTAAGACTCTGGTATCCTTCTTCAGTTTGGGCAGTGGGCTCTGGTATAATTTTTCAGTTGGGGCAATGCCTTACTTTACCTGCAGTCCCACTGCAAGATGCCAAACAGCGTGGCCATATCCAAAGGGAATATATATCAAAACAAAGTATTCTAGTTGTGTTTGTTTCTTAGGAGGGCTCAACTCCTGATGATGCCACAAGAGTACTTTCTGAGTGAGGGATGAGAATAAGACCTTCAAAATTTAGCCCAGTGAGATTTTAAAAGGACTGAAGGAAAGAGAATCACCAAATATATGAAGAGATACAACAAGGGTGAAAGTACCTTTGTCGGAGATTTTTGAGTTATGCTTTTGTTTGTAACTATCTGAAACAGAAAGAAATAGAGGGTGAATCTTACATGGGGGAAAGGAAGACAAAAGGCAGAGTAGCCAGAAAAAGAGACGAAGAAAGAGAAAGAAAATATAAGAGAAGGAGAAAGAGAAAGAAAATATAAGAGATGATTTATTATAGGACAAAGGGAAGTGGAGTCTTGCCGAGAACTTAATTTTATTTCCTTCATGCAAAAACACCAAGAGCAGCAGCAGCAGCAGGTGGCAAACATGCAAGTCAGAGAGCAGCAGAATATTTTGCTGGAAGGGAAAAGATGAAGCCCTGAGTGCACCGAGCTGGTAGGACCAGGCTGGAAGCAGAATCAGCTGTCTGGGTGCTACTTACTGTCACAAACATAGGGTTTGTCATGATCATCCTGGGAGGCAGCATCATTCCGTCTCCTGCCACCTCCAGATCCCCGAGCCTGCAAGGACAAGAGGAACGTTAATATTATTCCATCGCCCCTCAGGTTTTCTTGTGCCCCTCACCCTCCTATGAAAAATGTGCAATATAAACTAAACAAATCCTCAGCTTCCACACAGTCTGTCAAGGGTGGGCTTGACCATCTCCTAAGATATGCACTATGTTAATGGACCTTCTAATGCAGTGGAGATCCCCTCCACAGATAACCCAAACTGTTCATCCATAGCAGTAGGTCACTGCCACCACATATTCAGTTGAGTATCATCACACATTCATTTCTGAAGATGTTCAAATACCTTGCTTAACTGAATATGAATGAATGAATGAATAGATGAACAGGTGTTAGAGGATAAATATAACCATTGAATCAGCCAGAAAACAGGCCCCAAATAAAACAGAGGTAAAATAATTCCTTTTAATATTTTCAAAGGGGGGGTTGTTTGTTTTGGTTTGGTTTGTTTTCTAGCTGAAAAGCAATGTTTTGAAATGCCCTTCTGGGACAAAGACACCATGGCTAATTAGAAAATGGAGCTTTGGTCAGTTAGTAGAAAAGATTAGGTAACCTGGCTACCTGCAATAACAGAGAATGGGAATTACCCAGAAAGGTCTCTCTGCAGTTCTGTGTTCCTACAACATACCAGTGGGCAGCCCTGGAAACTGAAAAGCTCTGTTTCTCCACAGCACAGGCTGCTCTGTCCTGAGCTCCAGGGGTAAGAGTAGAATTCAGCATCAAAGTTACTTGGTCCTGACCCTTCTCAGCTGAGATGCCAACAAGGGGACAGCTGATATCTGTCCAATGGTGGAGGCTGCGATGTGGAACTGGGAACTGAGCCAAGGCCTTCAATTCTTTCATGTTCACTAATGTATAGTCTGTAGATGACAATAATTTTAGACTTGATCTTTTTTGAGGAAGTGATCGGCATGTGGGTCGCTAGGTAGCCCTTTATTAATTCTGCCAGCTACTCTATTCCTGGGTAAAAGCAACAAAATTGTTTCTGCTGCTCTTCTTACTAAACTGTTGATGTTTCTCACCCTAGACAAGGCCTCCTGACTAAAATCCTTCGAGCTTTTGCATGCAAAAATAAGAAAGGGACAGAGCTTCATCAAGTAAAGCTGGAGAAGATGTAGAAATTCCGAGAATATTAGTGCCCCAGACACAAAGGGGTCATATGAGCTCTGTCCCTCTTCTATGGATTTGGCACTGAACTAGCACTATTTGAGCTGCATTCCATCGGACATCTAAAGAGAAGGAACAAGGAACAGTTTTACACTGGCCTGTCACAGTCTGTCAAAACAGGGATTTATAAAAACTTAACATGTTATTTCCCTGGGATTGCTCAGGTCTAACTCTTAACACAGTCCTGAAGGAAAGACATGGATTTGCAGCTGTCTGGATGGGGTAAATACTATTAGGTGTGACAAGTTTAGCTCTGCCTTCTGCAAAGACCTCTGTGCAGATCAGCACACATGTGCGGAGTGAGATTTGTAAGGGTGAACTGAAAAGCAGTTTCACCCTGGAAAAGGCCCCAGCAACAATTGTTTGGTGGAAGCTACTTTACTGACCATATCACATAAAATCATCTTACTAATCTGCAATATTTTCTCTCTGACTGCCAGCTCTGTAAACCCCCTCTGGGCTATGAAACCAATCCCAGGCTAGTTCCTTTCTTCCCTCACTACTGCAAAATGGGCTGCAAGCTGAATTTCGGTCCATGGCAGCTCCTATACAACCCTCAGCTCATCAAAGAGTCTTCACAGAGACAAGTGATTGGCCCTTAATAAATATTTCTGCTGATACCTGGATTAGGATCCAATTTCCCTATCCTACCAGCTGCATTGGCTTTTCAGGGCTGTGAAAAAGCTGTAAAGTCTTTTTTTTGTCACCAGTCAGTAGGTCTGACTCTGTTTACACACTGAGAACAGATCTGTTGAGTAAGAAGGCACTATTTTTACATAGGCACCTTTCAGAATAAGATGGTAATTTAAGGTCCGTTGCTCGGAGTTTCACTAGTCTTACAGCCAGCTGTTTCCCTTCAAACCATTCTCTACAGAAATGCAAGGGTACAGCATTCATATCATGACCGCACGTCAGATATACTTTTTCATGCACTGAACACACAGAGGGAGATTTTTCAAGTCAATGACTTTCAATGGGACTTGGGTTCCTAAATGTCTTTAGTGCTTTTGAAATTGTCCCATGGGATATTCAGCCGACAAGCAGACAATCTGTACAGGTGCAGATGCATTCCTCATTTCTCCTAGCAATCTATCCTTCCCAACTCCTACCACATTGTCCCTGTCCAGCAAAGGTACTAAAAAACTCCTTCCGTAAATCCATCTCTTCGGCCTTCAGTGTCCTTTCTAATGCTCCCACAATTTCAGGGCTAGCCGTGAGGGGTCAGTAAACCGAGCAGCTGCCCCAGAGGCACCAGTGCCACGTGCTGGCTGTCGGCACTCCAGTCTGTTGAATTCAGTCATCTGAATCCGACTGCCTTCATTCTCCTGACGGGATGCAGCAAAGACTACGAGACTTGACGTGCGAGGCCTGGAAGCCATGGCACAGCAGCCTTGAAGCAGCCCTGAAGCAGCCAGAGAGAGTAGCCAGAGGGACAGATGGAGAGTCCAGCATTAAAAATAAAATCATGCTATAGGGAAAGGAAGGGGCATGTGCAATTTGGAAAGTCCAGAGCAGTAATTCTGTCGCATTAATCCTGCATCAATGCTGTCAGCCCTTCTCATTCCTTCTCTGAATCCCCGAAGGCCACACTCTGCAGGATCTAGTTTCCTATGCATGTCCTTCCCCTCTTCTGCCCTCTAAAAATAACCTAACCAACTCCTTCCCAGAAACAAAGTGCTGCCCAGGTTTCATGTCCCCTAATTTCAAATCCTGGATCCCGATCCCCTACACTGGGTCAGGCTCATGTTAGAGAAGGGCTGCTTCAAGAGTGGCAAAACACTCTTGACCAGACGCAATTCAGGCTGCATTTCAGGCTTACCAGTTTTCAGCAGCTAGGGAATCTGGCCCTAATTTTGAAATCCTAATTTATACCACATTTTGCTTTGGTTATTGATGCCATCAAATAAAAACGAAAATTGCTTAAAGTATTTGGCACTCTTCAGACTTCTCTTTTTTGTACTGAGTGAAGCCAGGGCACTAGCAGAGTAGGAGTTAGTTGCAAGAAAAAGGCAAGAGATCCTGCTGCTCCTATACTTAATAGGGGGCCAGTTCTAGGGCAGAAAATAAAATGTAAATTTATGCTTCAAAATGAATGGGACATCTAGTACCCTCCAACTCCTTTACCTACAGTAGCAGAGAAAAAGTAATAGAGTTATTCTGAAACAGTTTCCTGAACAGGGGAGTAAAACTTTGCACATAACAGTAACTTCAGGACTTTGTTTGTGTAGGCCTGGGATATATGAATACAGCAAATTCCCTTCTCCTGAGCAGTATATTGCTTTTAGCTATTCACTCCCTTTCACTCACCCTAACCAGCATGCGCAATTTATGTGAGAGCAACTTATTAGAAAAGAGTTGTTAGCCTGGAATATTAGTTGATCACTATAGTCAAGCTTGTGTGCATGTATTGATTCTAACTCCTGGTTTTGGTTACTGGTTCATACAAATTTTCTGAAACTTACATTTTTCTGGAAAATTTTTTTCCAGGTGGGGGTCTTTGGCTAAGAAAGAAAGAAAGAAAGAAACTGGTTCAGGTGATTTTGAGAATAAGGAAGGTGAAATATATACTTATCCAATTATTAAAGTGCTTTGATCTTATATTAAAGGACTTAAGCTCCAAAATAAAGAGGAGCAGAAAACTGAAACAACACAACAACAGAAGAAACCAAAAGAGAGGGTCTGATGCATAAGTACATTGCAAGTATTCAATGTGGTTTCATGTCTCTCTCTTATTCAAAAGCTATTATATCCTGCTCATTTGGCCTCAAATGTGGCCATTCTTGCTTGACTCCTACAAACACATCAAAAGGTACTTGTAGAGCTCCTGTGCCCCTGCAGCATCTGCTGGAGCCAAAGAAAGATGAAAATGCTCAAAACTTCTGAGAATTGTGTTCACATTTATAATAGATGCCTAGCTTAAGGGGCCACAATTGAAAATGTTGATTCCAAGTTTTAAAATGTTGGCCTCATTACTTAACTGGTGCCCTGCTGAAATTGTGAAAAGACATCTTAGGTAAGAGAAGGGACACAGACTCCCCTAAGAATAAAATAATGCCCATTTTAAGCAAATGGAAGATATGCCATTGGCTCAAGAGGGCCAGTGTCGGCCACAAAGTGCTACCTTGGAGAAAGCTGCAAAACATATTAACACAGTTCAAGTTACTTTTTTTTTTTTTTTTTTTTTTTTGGCTGTCATGACTGAATTTGTTGCTTTCTGTAATTAGTAAAAGTTGTTTTAAAGTAAGAACATCGTAATAGCAGGATGTCATCATAATCATTACAGTTAACATTACAACACTATAATAAATTTAGCCCAACTTTTTACTCTCCAAATAGTCTTTTTTTCTTGGTAATTCACAAAAATAAACTGCAAAAATATTAAAAAATCTTTGATGAAATGACAGAAAATTACCTACAGTGTTATCACTATCATATATCCATGGATAAAAACTTTGCATATACAATACACATGACAAATACACACTAGAAAGCAGAGGTTTGCTTCCTTCCTTTCCATTCCAGTAAAGTCTCCACCTACCCGTCCTCTAGGCCTGTTCTTTCGTTTTGGAATATCTTCTTCCAAATCCTCTTCTTCATTCACTTCATCTGCATTTTCATCATTTTCTAAAACCCTCTGTGGTTGAACAATAAACAGGAATGGTTAGAAGAAAAGAAGATGACACATACAACCAACTGCTGCTCTTTACCCACAGAGACTGCAGGTTATTAAATTACAGTTGATTAATGATATAATGCCAAATCAGATCCCAGAACCCCTACTTCTTTCTGCTGAAGCAAAATTTGCTTTCCCTTCCACCCTCAGTTCTCCAGGGAGTTCTTATTAAAAAATACCACTGATATCAGTCAACTACAAAAAAAAAGTTCCTAAGAAATAACAGTGGCATCACCAAGCACTGATATCCCAAGACGACACAAGTATTAGTATGCATAACTGCAGGCCCTGTCTGGGAAATTGTTTCCATGATTTTTTTATTTTGGTTTCTTGCACCTTAAATTGTTTTGTTTTCCTCTAATATTGAGAATGCACTTTAAGACGACAAAAATCAGCGTTTGTCTCCTTGGCAGCTCAGAATTTTGTTTAGCAAAAAGACAGAAAATTCCCCCATATATTTCAGCATGTTTACTGGATCTAGAAAGTGACATCTTTCAGGGCTTACACCACAGGTACAAATCTGTAATCTGGAAGCAGGGGTCTTGCTGCATGAGAATGCTGAGGAAATACAGGTCTCATTGAAATTAATAAGAACAATAGCAATAGTTCCTTCAATTAAATATCTAATAGGAACAATAATTCATCATCTCACATAACTGTGAGATGCCCAAGACAGGGAATTTCAATCTTTTTATCTTGATCTTTTGAAATGTAACCTCCATAGAACCAAACACAGGCTGGCCGGCCTGAAAACATGCACAAGTCAGACATTGCACGGACAAAGGCAAGACAAACCATCACAACACTAATGTGGAAAGGAGTCCCATTGAAATCCCCTCAACCCTGGGCATGTCTGCTAGAAATACAGAAATGGGCCCCAGCCACTCTTGCCATTCATGGTGCGGTGCCATTTCATAAGGGACTAATCTGGAATCACTAACTTATCTTTTCTGTGTCACCATTCATTTAAATTACACCACGCAGCCATGATGCAGATTCAGATCAGTGACTTTAAACTGATGGGGAGAGGTTTTTCAGTCTTACTGTATTTGTCCCTTCCCTATAATTTCTAGTTAACAGCTCTTTGAGAGCCAGCAGAGGGAGAACAGGAGCAAATCACACTCACTTTCTCTCCTTCCTACATACCTCAAGCACTAAATTCTGAATTTGTTTCAAAGGATGCAACAGAAATTTCACTTTTAAAAAAGCCTGTATTTTGAAAACCAACTATACAAGTTTATTCTTATTTTACCAGCTAAATTTTTAAGACTAATATTGGACAGTGTCCCTTTTAAAAAGTACAAACAACTTTTAGAACATGGTAGAGGATCAAGTCTTCATCTGGTTTTTGCTCCTTTTATTTTTAAATCTCAGGAGGCTGTTAATGAAGTCAGACCATCATGAAACAGAATTTTGCGTAATACTAGAGTACTAAATACTAGAGGGTGTAAAAGTTAAGCAAGTTCCAGTTCTACAAACATACAATGTTTCTTCAAAATTCATGTAATTGCATACATTAATTGCCTTCATCTTAGGAAACTGAAGCACTTGGAAAATGTGTACAAGTTGTACATGAGGAGACTAGTGGTATGTAAGAAAATAATCAAACTTACTGATATGAGTTTGTATTTTCACATATCTCCAGAAAAAGAGAAGGCTGCAACTATATCGTACGTGGGAGGGGAAGGAGGTAGTTTACAACAATAATACTACACAAGAGCAGTTAAGAGAAATATTACAAACCACTTTCTTTGTTTAAAATTGCAGCATCAATTTAGGAAAGAGATAATAAGTAACCAAGTGTGAATTTGGTGACACTGCCAGGGTAATGACTTTAATTCTTGATAGAAGGGGCATAGCCTTTCTGATGAATGGTCGAGAGGCTATTCTAAGTCTTCTCCAGCAAACGATGGAGACACATGTTCAATACCAATTTACTGTAGGGCAAAACCCTCAACCCTGTTAAATACCAACGGTACAGCAGGTCCCAATGACTGCATCTATTTAGCAGGGGCAACCCTTACCCTTTTTAGCAAAGTAACATTTCTTTTCCTATTCTGTCTTTGCAAAAGTTTCACCGCCCAACGTACTTCAGTGCAGCTAAGCACCAAGTTGTCTCCTCCTGACAGATACTGTGAGTTTGAGAGGGTGGTAAGTGGCTGGGACTGAGGTGGGAATTACAACTATGCCTATCCCGCCTGCTCGCTCTCACCACCACTGGGGCTGGGCCCTTTCAAGTTATGGCACAGAAGAGCATGCAAAGGAACAAAAGAGAGATTTGCATTCTCTTATTTGTCATACGGATAAAAGGCACCGATCATTATTTTGATCTGGTACAGTCTAGCTGCCAGGTGCTGAAGTACACACTGAAAGCTGGCTACCAGTAAAGGCTTGGACAATCATTGTTCTATTGACTGAATCCAGATAAGCTGTGCTTGCATCAGAAACAACAGCACGACATGCCTTTTGCATTTGTTCTGATGAAACTAGCATTCAGATGACAGGTCACCGCCAGGGCAGTTTAGCTGAAAACTTTCTGTATATTTTTGCACCCCCTCCCTGCTCTGCAATGCCCAGACTTGCGTCAGTTCCACCATCTCTGAAGACTCTTTCCTTGGACTGCTGCTGGGGATAATTTGGGAGCTCAGATTGCACAGCAACATCCTAAGACACTTGTCAATCTCATAAGGATGCTGCACCATGACTTCTTGTGCCCTTGGAAGCAGTTATAAACAGAGCTTTAGGGCTCTCAGCTTAATAGACCCAGGCATACTACTGAAGAAGGAAACACAGAGGTGGCCTCGTGCCAAGCTTTTCCCCACTCCATGAAGATGGGATGCTTCCTCTTTGATGGTGCTCCTTTACCTGTGGAACTGGGAATGGGAGACGTAATTTTGCTGCCCTGACACGTGTGAAATTTCTAGCAAAAAGACCAGAAGGACTGAGCTCCAAGTAAAATAGATTTGATGCCCACGCTCTTCTGTTTCATTTAGCATGGGGCTGCCCACTCAAATATTTACTAGTTTCAGGTATAGATGCATCATGTTGTATCTCAGCCAAAATTACCAAGTTTGACACAGTGCCAGTGGCTCTTGCTAAAAATCACTAAGAGAGACTCATAGCACAATGGTGTTTTAGCATCACCAAAGATTTGCTGCTGCTCCCCCGGGAAAGGCTCACTTCCCTAGTGATTTAAGATGTCTTTCTAAAGTGGCATGCCCTTATATAAGAACCCTTTATATTAGCTGAATTCCTTCTATGACTGACCCACAAATGTGTTTCTACTTTTAATTGTTAAAGGATGAGATGGAATCTTGACAAATAACTTTCAAGCCATAATGGGTGTAAAGAGGCAATATTTCTCATTCCTGCGTCACTAATAATAACTGAGATAATTAACATTAGAATATTTTTAATGATTTATTTTGCTTGTGTACTTCCTGAAGACTTCTCAGTATAAGAAACAACAGACAAGGCAATAACACGTTTTTGTCTGCAGTCAGCAGCTGTGAATCCAACTTCAAATCCGTGTCCAAATTCACTTTAAATCTGAGGCACTAAAATTCAGTTTATGGTTGGGACCAATCTCTGCTTGTCAGCTTTATATGTAATCGTCTCATAGTGCTGCAAAACAAATTCCAACACAGGAGCCGTGCAGAACACAGCCAAATGACTGAGATTCTTGTGACAGGACAAGTGTGCGAGATCCCGAGTTCATTTTGAGCATCACAGTGTAGCACAATGGTTTGATAACATTTTGACAGTAAAATGACACAACTATCAACAGATGTACTGTTCTGCTACAGGACAAAATCTGCTGGGCTTAGAGACAAATTGTAAAATCCAGCCCTGCTGTCAGGGCATGGGGCTCTCCTTTACCTGGATTTCTTGTATAGTGTCTTCCTCTTTAGTGTCTGTTTTTTTCTCTATTCCCTCTCCACGCAGCAAGGCTTCCAGAGTTGTACTTTCTGATGTGAACCCATCTTTTTTCAGAGGCAGATCAACTTCTGAAAAACAAAACACACTGACTGTATGTGTCTCACCCAGACAGCTAACAAGCAGAAAGACAGAGATGACAAACAGAAGACTGACAGACTTTCAAGCTTGTTTCTACCTTGAAGGAGAGTTCTTCAAGTTCTTCTTTTAACTGCTAAGGATCCCCATATAGGACTCATTTCTATCTTAATGAAAACCTGATATCTTTTCAGTCGCTGTGTTTGCTTAAGGAAAAAAAGGCTGGACATATTGTACCAGGAGGAAATAAATGGGGGGAAAAAATCCTTCTCCTTTATGTAAACTCCTTATGCTTCAAATAAAGAACACAATAAGGACTTTCCAAGATACCGAAATAACAAATATGAAGATCTGATCTCTTGAAGTAGAAAAGTAGTTGAATGCAATTCAGCATCTGGCACAATTTACACCGCACAGCTACAAGTAGCATTCTCCTACACCAGGGCATGTCCTACACGTGGGGAAGCAGAAAGCTAGTGTGGGGCCAGTGCTGAGAACTTAAATTGAAAAAATGAGGGGATGGGTCTTGAATTTTCATTTAATATTCACTAGATAAAATCTTCAGCTTGTTTTAAATGGGCCTATACCAATGAAGGAACACCAGTCAACGCAGCTATGAGTGCAGAATCCAGCCCATAAAATAGGACAACACCCAGCCACTGCAAGAGGAGCCAAAGGCTGGCTTGGGGGCAGGCCCGGGGCACAGGACTCCAAGAGACAGCACAGGTTTATGAGGAAGTTTAATGCAACTGGCCATACAACTTAAGGAACAGGGCCTTATTCCCCTTCCAAATGCTGCCACCAGATTATGAGTGCAGCAGACAGGCAAATACAGCATGTCAATTTTAGCAAGATCTTAAAATACACCTAGAGAATTCCGTTTTCCTTGCAGATCCTGGCCTCTACCCCACTCATGCAGGAGTTCATTCAGAGCAACCCTATGGCAGGGGGACATCCTGAATGTCTCTTTACCTGACAATGCCAAGGTGTGGATTTCTCAAGTACTCCCTCCATTCTGAAATTAATTCCTTCCTCTAGACCAACAGATTTATAAAGTAATAATGTACAGGACAGACACTCAGAAATCATCATCTGGTGTCCTTATTTCATAGCTCTGTCCACTTCTCATCTTTTAGGACTGTGTTTTGTGTTCCCCAGTCTGCCTGAACCTCCCTGCCTTCCTATCACCATGAGTTGTAAACTCTGCAGGGCAGAAATTCATGTGTTTATAAAGCCCCAAATCACTCCTGCAATCTGAATAATGAATGAACACTTCCACCTGGGACAGTAAAGTATAGCCTGTTTCTTGGGGGCAATTGCGTCCCAGGAACATGTTTGTTCTATATATGAAAAACTCTAAGCCAGCAAATGATTCAGGGTCCCTGATCAGTGCTTCCACAACACGCTTGCTCAAGCCTTCTGAAGTGCGAGAGCATTGCTCAGCCAATAACCACAGAAAATCCAGCAAAAATTCCAGCAAAAGCTATTCTATTCATGGAGGGAAAGGCTGAGTATAAACCATGCAGAAAACCCAAACCACTGGGATTTTCAAAGGAAACTCCCAAGACAACCCACACAATGGGATGGGGTCAACAGTGAATTGATCCCCCTTCTCATCACAAGGAGGTCTATTCAATCAGGCCTCTGTTTTTGGCATTAAGCTCTGCACACACACCCATTTGCCACCTTCCCCAACTTCTCCCTTACTTGAGCTATAAAAAAGACAGAGAAGTCAACAGAGAATCGTACAGATTGAATTTCCCTGTATGAACTCCTAGTACCTCCCTCTGGATGCTAAATCCAGACATTTCAATAGAAAGAAGGGATTTTAGACTTGATTCATGTGCAAATCCCAACACTTGAATCTAAAGCCACTAAGGAACATCCATAATCATCTTTGGCTGTGGGCTTGACTTGGTTTCAAAGCCCTGTGCTTAGGTGCAAAAGGGCATTTGCTTTGTATTTAGGACCTTGCGGGACTGCAAAACCCAAGGGGTCATCATACATTCAGAAAGAGAAGAAGCTTCAAGCAAGCTCAAGGGCATCAGAAACAAACATGTCTTCACTGTGACAAGCTATGCCTGTCTCTAGATACCGATACACTCATCAAGCAAACGCATTAGTAAAAGGGAATGGGCAAGGAAGGGGTGAGGGATAAGTAAAATGTATATGAAAGTAAAACTACTTCCTGTTTGTTCCAGAGACATTGAACATTAAGTCAGAGGGAAAGGTAGGCTTTAAGGTCAAAAACCAGCAGCTGTCTTTAATAGGCATGTTTGTTTTGTGTGGTGCTGCTACTTCCCACCAGCAACACTCCAGGAGACTTTTCATGCAAAACTCTCAGAGCATTTTTTAATTATTAAATTTAACATCCCACTGACAAGGCGGTGTGAGGTAATACTTTTATTCCCAGTTTACTGATGGGGAGATTGAGTCACCAAGAAGTTAAGTTAGTGAGTAGGAAAACCAGCAAAAAAAAACTCAGGGCAGCTGCCTCCCATCTGCCCACTAAGCTTACTGCTATTCAGCTCCTTCATTTTGTTGTCCACTGGTAGCTTCTAGGAGTCCATTTTCATTCCTAAGCGGCTCTAATAAGTGGGAAATGGCAGATGCTATCTGATCTGGAATGTAAAGTTTACAGTATAAAACGTACAAAGGTCCAAAGACAACCTCTTAGTAACGAATTCAATCTCTGTAATGAATTCGGTCCTTCCTGGAAAATGGCTAGTCTGTAAAGGATACAGTAATGAAGACAGGAAATTACATTTCCAAACCACTTTTTGAATCCCTAGAGATGAAAGTCTCCAAAAATCTAAATGATGGTTCAGTTAACCTAGAGAAATAGTTAATCACTACTAGGGATCATTAAATTCATTTCACTAAATCCCTAATTTTCTCTTTCCTATTTAACTCTCCAGGATTTTCCCACAAAAGCTAGAAAAGTATATTTTTCTCTTATGCCTGTATCCTAAAGAAAACTGAGAAGCCAACTCAATGCCTGAAATGTAGTTTTCATGTGAAAGATCAAGGCTTCCCCCAGACCACAGGAACTGCGGTACGGAAGCAAGGCAGGGTCTGTTCCACCCACTGTCCTGCTTATGAAGGCACCAGCCAATGTCAGAAGCTTCAAACAAGACCAGAGAGGGTCTTCTAGGCTTGAGAAATTAAGTTGTGACCCCACACTTGCCTCTGTTTGCTTTGATATTTGTTGTGCTATACTATGCAGTCACATCAGATGCTGCAGAAGAAGGTATGAGTGTCTGTCAGGAAAGAAATGCAAAGAAGATTATCTACCCTAATACTAACATTTCATGCTGATCTCTAACAGGTCAGTCCTAAGAGATAAATGCAGTAACACCTCCAGTTATCCTAAATCTGTTTCTTCTGGAAGTGCACAGAATAGTCCAGCTCTTTCTGAATTTTTATACACTTTTGCCCTCTATGTTAAACTAAGTGAGTTTAACAGTTAAACTATGGTTTGAAAGAAGGAGTGTTTCACTTTATTGCTTGCCCCCTTGTTCTTGCTATGAGACAGGAAAAATAGAAGTCCTGACGAAACTTTTTTTCATTTCTTTTTATTCGTCTCTTTTCGAGGATAAACAGTCTTTTCTATTACTCTGCTGTGGGAAGATTTCCATATGGCTTTGTCCTGTCAGACCTCTCTGAACTTCCTCTTATTCTTCAATAATCTTCCCAAGGTGGACCAATACTGCACCTGATATTTTCAGATGAAGCCACATCCCCTATTTAAACAAATGCATTACAATATTCTTTATATTACCCCTCAGGCAGTGTCCTGCAGTGTCCAAGCTGTATACTAAGCACAATTAGGAACCCTGTAACAGGGACAACAACTTCCCGTAAGTAATACTTTCAACACACAGGTGACAAATTAAAACATCCATCCCACCGCCCATTCACCAAGCACATTCAGATCTCCCCAAGGAGGCCCACGCAGACCTCCTTGGCCACGATGTCTCTAAATAACTTTGTACTATGTGCAAATCTTTACAGTTTACAAGGTATTCCCTCTCTCCAGCTTGTTCATTACTATATTACACAACACTGGACCAAACACCAAACCTTGATGCACCAGCCGTTAGCCTTTTTTCTATAATAAAAGTTCTTTGTTTCATTATGCTCTTTGTTTCATCTTTTGTTCTGAAAGTTTTGATCCAAGAATGCTTTGTTTCTCTTTGGAGGCCTATTACATACCAAAGGTCTTCAGAAAGTCTAACTAAATTGTCAACCCCCTTATCTATTAGTCCTTTACCTATCATGTAAAGAATTTTAAGTAAGTAGTGAGATGTACTTTTCCTTGGTGAAAAACAAGTCAGTTAGAACCTCCTATATCATCCCAGGTGCTTTACTGCTTATACCTAATTACTGTTTCAATCAATTTCTCAAATGTTCATGTAGAATTTATGGGTCTTTAAATCCTTGAATCACATCCAAATCCTTTTTAAATATAGGTAATAACATTTGCTACCCACTAATTGTTCTGAATTCTTTCTATTGTAGCTCCTAGTTTGTATCACAAGCTCTTCTTCAGACATTGCAATTTCAGAGAACATAATCTTTATTACAAGTAATAACTACTAGTAAAAGCATTGTAACTAAAAGCTTACTCTTTTACATAAAAATTTTAAGAAGGTTTGTAGATAAATTTCCTTTTGATTAGTATTGCAAATGCAACAGCACCTGTTTACTGTAGGAGATTCAGGAAATAGAACCATACAAAACAGAAGTGTCAAATCAACAAAAATCATCAATGAAAAATATAAAGTTATTTAAGAATTCTTCCCATTATAATAAACCACAGTATTATTGGTATCTCTGCTAAATATTGTGCATATTTTATAATTCAAATATGTGTGTGTGCATATAATTAAAATTTATGTTTCTTAACTTGGCAGAGTCCCTTTCATAGTGATTAAATTAACATGGTTATTTCTGCTTACCAGCTCAGTGCAACAACCTCTCTATTTATCAAGGTCCTTAGACTGTGGTGGTAGAATCTGAACAAGCACCCATGCCAGCATCATTCCTGTATCTGTTTTTTGTTGAACTGCTGCCTCCAAAAGAAGTACATTTTCACAAATCCTACAAAATGGTGGGCTTTTTCAAGTTTTGATTCACCAAAATAGCTGCAAATGCCTGTCCTTAAATATGCTACATTTGGTTTACAACGCACTGGGAGCTAAGCAACTTTTCTGTGTCTCTTTGAAACATAAATTAAAAACAACCATCCCTTTTTCTATACAGTGCAATGTATTTGTTTTACAATGGATCATTTCCATCTCCACAGTAGCAGCTGCCACCCAAGCCATCATCTCTGCGCACTCGTAAGCAGCTCCATTTCCAGTTCTAATTGGGAACAGAGATACTTATTGGGTGAGTTCCAGCATGATCTATCACGCCAGAGACAGCTACTATGCAAACCAAAGCAATCCGGCTTCCAAAAACCCTCTTAGACAAACACTGACTTTGCACATAGATTCTTGCGTTTTTGTTTCTTGGTGTTGGTTTTTTGGAACATAAAAAGTGCCAGAGGAAACTATATATTAAGAGTCCATGAAGTGCTGTTTAAGATGGATAAATCCAAGGATATTACCTTAACAACCACTACCTCTTTAAAATCATATAGGTGGTCTAAAAAAGCCACCTAATTCACGGCAAACAGAACTACTGCTGAGCGAATGCAGCCACTAAGCTCATTAAGAGGATGTGGCAGGATGTGTCTGAAAGTGCAGTGCAGTGGCTCAGCAAGCAATTAAATCCCCTGACAGTTTAAAATGAGAATCTATCAGTGTCACAAGAGTGTGAAGCCTCAGCATCTCTGCTGTTCCCACCCCCAGCATTTTATTTATGATGGCGTATTGGGAACATGGGAAGTCAAAAAGATTATAATGAAATATGCCATATAAAAACCAGATTAAGCCTGCTCTTCTTTGGGGAAATATGCAGAGAGAGAAGCTGTCTGTTAGCTGTCGAGTTTGCAAAAGATACCATCTTTTGGGATGGTGCTCTCTGCCAGCAGACAGAGTGCCCCAGGGGAAATGGTGGTGAAAAACCCAGACAAGCAGCATCCATCCATCCATCATATGCTCATCTCCACATCTCCAAGGCACAAATATAGCGTTAGAGTGCAAAGGGTGGGGGCAGGGGGGATGGAATCCCTTAAGAAAGAAAGAGGAGACAATGCCTTACATGAATAGCTGGATTTTGTAGCTTTTCTGTGCGCACACAACCAGACTCTCCTCAGCTTGTTTGCTTGCTTGCTTGTTATGTTCATGGTGAGTACAGTGATTTGTTACCATCCTTGGAATGGATGCATTCACAGCAGTGACCAGAACCAGGTATACTAAAGGCAAGGCCCTGCAAGCTTTTTTCATAAGCATGTCTCTGCCAGCACAGCGCAGCACAGACCTTCACTCCTCCTGCAGATCTGGAGCTTCAGAAACCTTCTTTCACTGCACCATCTCCTGCTATCCCAGGGGAAGATGCTCACATCATTGCTGTTATGCTTTAATCCTGACCCTCCACAGTCCCTGCTATCCCAGCCTGCTCTCCCAACACTACTGCAATTCAGCACCCATCTGTAGCAGACTTGTCAGTGCCAGTTCTACACTTACAACCCTCTCCAACCCTGGTCCACAGGACCTCTTGCCAGACCAGCCATGGGCCTCCCCTGAGACTAGACTACTGATAACACAGAATCTCACAGTAAGTCCGTAAAGCCAAACAAATACCCCTATAGACTAGTAAACATCAAATTCACTTTATCTTTAATCCAAGCCAGGCACAATGAAGCTGTGGATGTACTGGAGATTGTAAGGCTACTCCAGTAACTCTTTGTCTCCCCCACCAATTCCACCCTCAAACCTCATGTATTATTATTGCACTCTCAAGGTAAACAGGGCCATGGTAAGAACAAGAATCCAGTCAAAGAGAGTGAGAAACCAGTTTTAGAAGCAAGAGCACTTGAAAACAAAGATTATTTGCTTCCTCAGAAACAAACCATTTTGTGTGGAAAGAATAGTTTGGAGGACTATCTGCCATTAAGTGAAAACTCCTCTTCAGGCTGCAGCCATGGGATCCTATAAAGCTCTGAAATGAATCTTAGTAAACACTTGTTACAACTTTTAGGCCCTACTGAGATTTGCTCTAGGAAGCACTGGCAGATTGGAAAATCCCAATGTCTCCCTAGCATCTCCTCCTGCAAAGCTGCTAGTCTTGTGGTAAGGTTGGGGGGGAGCAGGGGGCAAGGGGAGAAAGTGAAGAGATGGAAGAAGACAGAGGAAGCTATCATATGGGGGGACTGTACACTTTCACTCTTCAGCCTGGCCATAAACTGCAGAAAAATCAGAGGGTGACTTCAAATTTTAAGACCAGGATCCAATGCAAAACTTCTATCAGCCCCCAGCTAAAATACATCCCAGGAGGCTACAACACAACAGGAGGGAGAAATAAAGCTGCAGAAAACAGCAGAGGCCCTCAAACATAAGGTTAAGCATTGTTTAGTTTAACCCATCATCAAAATGTGGACTTTACAAGCAGCTGTATTTCTTTGGCAGACTAGAATGCCTCTATAAAATCTCTCAATAAAAAAAAAAAAGCCCTCCTGTCAGTTGTCTCTTGGAAGTTCTTTACAGATTTATTTCTCAGCACAGATATAAATCATTGTCACATATAATATACTGTACCTGCTTCTCAAAGATTGCCAAAT